GGTTCGCCCGCACGCTACAGTCCGTCGTAGCCCCACACGTCAACCCCGCACATTCGGCACCAGCTCGTCGGGTCGCCCAACTCCCGCTTCAACTCACCTCTTACTTCGCTCGTGAGCCGACCCTCATTGATCGCGCTACCTCGAGCTTCCAACAACTGTTTAAGAGAGCTATCTAATCGCGCAACCGAAATTTATAGCGTGTATGCATGCGCGACGAACACGGAATTGCAAGGACTTAGAAGGGAGAGAAGGGGAGGGAATGCCTATGTTCTGCACGGTCAGATCACGGCGTGGGGGACGTAGCCACTCTCCACGCATCGATCCGATCATGCAGCCCGCGGGCCAACTAGACACAACAAAGGAGAGAGAGGGCGAGAAAGACGAAGCTCAAGAAGAAAGATACATGTACAAGGGCGCCCCGCCCAAAATTACAGTTACACGCAAGATTAAGGGCGTCGACTAACCAGAGCTCCGTTGCAACCGCAAAAAGAAATGCGTGAGCAAAGAGCACCGCACGGCCAGAGAAGTTCCGAAGTCCTAAATTCCTAAATTCCTAAATTCCTATTTAACGCAAAAATGCAAAAAGGACTTTAATAAAGCACAAATTTCGAAAAGAAAGTCTGAAATTTCGAGAGCCATCGAGGGTTCGACAAGGTTCGAAAAGGAAATTCAGAAAGAAAGAAGCAAAATTCCCGCGCGACTACCGTGTCGAAATCCCGACAGCAGAACAAGAAAGAAGCGACGTCAACCATTATTAATCGCGCCTTCGTCGGTGCGCCAACCACTCAATCGACCATCCCGGGACTTGCCCAGCCCTAGCCCCAGCCATCCGAAGAGAAGCGACGAAAAAAGAAGAACAAGCAAGGACCCCGATGCAATTTTCCCATCGGATCCCATCTCCCGCAATTGGCCCAACCTTCCCAGCTTAGGACTCCTTGTTGTTATTGCGCAGAAAATCGCGCCGAATAGAAATTGGTTCGTCACAACGCGGCACCCCTGCGCTAGAGCATTCTACACGACGCGGGCGAAGCGGTTGGCGTGGCGATGGCGGGAGTGATATGCGACGAGATTGTGAGGGCGCGACACGGGATCTACAGGAGAGCGTGGGCGACATGGGGGGCGAGAGAAGGGTATGACACTGTACGAAAAAGCTGGCGACGAGGTAGATGGTGGGCTATGGTGGCGTGCGATAGGGGATGGGGTGTTGGGTATAGATGGGCGGGGGGTGTCGAGTTGCTGGGTTAGGTTAGGCTTGTCGTCCTTGTTTTTTGAAAATCCCTCCTTCCTCAACAATATTAGGTGTTTCTTGGGTGGTTTTGAACCCCCTGTGGTGATTCGTCAACGGGCTTGGCGAGAGGGTGTCACACTGTCTTTCGATTTCCTGCGGGGGTTGAGGATGGCCGTTCACGTTCTTGGTGCTTGCTTTGCTCTGAGCCGTGATGCGAGCAGTGGGAGGATGGGAGTTTTTTTCCTTCCCCAAAGATGCAGGGTTGGCGTTCGAGGGGGGTGAGGTAAGTGTCTTGGTTGAGGAAGAAGGAACGGGAGGCTGTTTTCTATTGGATTAGGATTCCGGCCGCGCCTTATAATCTGAAATTGCTGCCAATCGTGTTTTTCCTGAGTCGTCTTGAATTTCTCCTTTTTTCTTGAGTTGTAGTTGTTTGTTCTGGAATTTTTTCAATTTTGTTACATTTAACTCTTGAGATTATGGATGTAATTGATTCCTGACCTGAAATTTGTACTTTCTACGTGGATACTCGTACTTTTTGCGCAAGATTCATAATCTATAAATCTCAAGGAATGATTTCTTAATCTACATCATTGTATTTTGAATTAGTCCACGTTTTAGCGTTCCTTTGATCTATCCTTGATTTTTCCCAACCTTTTCAATAAGTTCTAATCATAGCGGAGGTTCGAAAATCTATTTTGAAAATAATTTGTGAACACCTAAACCAAAATTCGTAATTCTTTTCTTAATTGCATCTAGTTTTTATTTTTGTAACTGACTTCTGGTGGTTTCTGAGTCGATATGTCGTTCCTAATTCGACCTATTTCATTAGTTTTCGTCAGAATTTTGAGCAGGGGGCCCATGGGATGGTCAAGTGCAGTATCTTGTTGGGTCTGGGGGTTTTGTTTTGAAGTAGGGAGCAGAAGGCAGTGAAGGATTCTTAGCAAGGATGGAGAGAGTATGAAATAGGGCTGTTCAACGGGTACCGGCTAGGGGGAACTCTTATCAGATGCGATTGGCATTGGGTAGTTTAGGCTGTCCAATGGGTACCGGCTGTTGAGGGCGAACTTCAGCGCGATTGGCGTTGGGCAGTGTTGTTTCACCCCCTCAAGGACAGAGACTGGAATTCTTGTGGGGGCAAGGAATTTCAGGGTGATGATGGTGCCTGCCCCCTGCTGAGATAAGGCTCTCTGGGCTCTTTACAAGGACGGAGTTGGGAATGGCGAATAAGGTCCTTCCTTTCGATGATGGAGGCAGGATTTCCTCAGGTTGTCTGTTTCAGGGTTTGTGTGGTTTTCTATATTTGGCCTATTCCTCGTCAGAGGATTTCTGAAGTCTGTCGTAGAAATTTTCTAAGTTGTTTTTTTGGTTTTCTCTCTTCGTATTCCGTTCCAAAAAAACCTGGCGGAGCATCTTGTGGAGCTTTTGGGGACCTGCTTTGAAGTGGTTAGGGCCCAGGGGCATCAAATGATTCTTCACAAGGACAGAGAGGGGGAGGAAATAGGGCTGCTCGATGGGTACTGGCTAGGGGGGGCTCTTATCAGATGCGATTGGCGTCGGGTAGTTTAGGCTGTCTGATGGGTACCAGCTGATGAGAGTGAACTCTGGCACGATTGGCGTTGGGTAGTGCTATTTCACCGCCTTGAGGACGGAGACTGGAATTATTGTGGGGGCAAAGAATTTCAGGGTGATGATGGTGCTTGGCCCCCGCGGAGATGAGGTTCTTTGAAGCTCTTCACGAGGACGGAGTTGGGGAGGATGGAGGTGATTGGGATGGAGGAAGTGGATGGTGGATGCGATTGGCGCTGAAATTTTGGCGGGTACCGGCTATTGGCCGCTAACTTCACCCGGCTCAGTCTGTGCCTCTTCCTTTCGATGATGGAGGCAGGATTGCTCTGTGGGGGTTGCTGCTTGAGTAGCCTAGTAATAGGTTGGCAGGTCAGCAGCTATTCAAGTTTTTTCTTAAATTGTTCTTGAACTTCTTCATAGTTCTCAGATTGTTCTTAGCTGAAGCGAGGTGACGGCCCTGGTACTCCCAATCATTGTATAAGTTTATATGGGACGCTGGGCCCGGTTCCCAGCACATGTTGCTCCCCACGAATAGATTGGAACATTGTCCCCCCCCAACGCCAAAAAAAAAAAAAAAAAAAACAGAAGGTGATGAACAAGGGCATCTGCTGTATATAGATATGTATTTGGGATTTCTTTTTTTTGCAGGCAAGAGTGTTTTGATATCCTGGTTGGTCTTGTCCCGTTGTTTGGCCTATGAAGTTGGGGGTGGTGCTTACATGTGGGGCTTGTCATCCAGGACCTTGTTGCCCCCTGTTTTGTTATATTTGGCTGTTCCCTTCCTCTTTTATTGGCCTCTTTGCCATTTGGCTGTGTGCAAGTGGGTCGATATGACACACGTGGGTGGGGCCAGCTGCCGCTCAACCACGTCCACGTGGGCGGCCTTGTATGCAAGAGGTTCTGAACAGGGTGAGAAGTAAGAAAATAAAGAATGAATTGATATCTTTTTTGTTTCCTTTTGTTTTTTTCGCTTTTGCGCTCTGATAACTTGTGACAATATATACTAGGCTACCAGAGTGGCCCGGGACCACTTGCCCAGCCGGGCCCAAAAAAAAGAAAAAAAGAATATTTTTTATTTTATTTTATTTTTTATCTACCAGTACACGGCCCCAGCCTTGCAGTCCGAAACTTGTTGCCACAAGAAAACGAGCCTGAAACGTCAAACACTGGGCCCACCGTTGATAAATTCAATCGGCAGTCGCGTTTTCATTTCGTGCCTCCATAATTTGAGGTGTCAGGTCTTCGCCCAGGTGTCCATGTACTGGTGCTTTAAATTTGTTAAGGAATTTTGATGTGACCCTGAGGCAAAAGTTGTTCAGTCTATTTTTCTGCATAACATTGTTTTTTTTTTCCAGATTTTTTTTCTTTTTTTTTTTGCTGGGACCTTCCCGGGTCCTTGCGCAGCCGGGCCGGCCGGTTGGTAGTTGTTGTCCTCTTCTCTCTCTCTGCCTACGGTTTACCGGGCAGTTCTGTTTGTGGCGATATATACTTTCCCTCACTTTCCGTTTATCGTTCTTTGTTTGTCTGCTCTCCATCTCTCCTCCCTGTGTTTATCGGACTTTATCCCCTTCCCCTTCACTCTGCCTCTTTCTCACAGCGTACAAGTGGGCCGTTATGGCACGCAGGGATGGAAGCAGCTCGCGCTCAACTTCATCAACGTGGCGAGCCTTGTACGTGAAAGGCACGATGAAGGGGGACTTAAAAGAAGAATGATAAAAATGAATGGTTTCAGTGTGCCCTTCATGTTTGTCTTGTTTTTTATCTTTTTGTTTCTGCCATTTGTTTCACAAAGTACGCTCTTTTAGTTCGTAGTTATGTGACAATGTATATATCCCTCACAAAAGGTAGGCAGCCCCTAGATTTTATTTTTTATTTTAAATTTGGTAAAGAATTTCAATGTGACCCTGAGGCAAAAGTTTTTCAGTTAATTTTTCTGCACAACATAGTTTTTTTTTTTCTGGATTTTTTGGATTTTTTTCTTTCTTTCTGGGACCTTCCCCTGGTCCTTGCACGTCTGGCCGGGAAAACAGGGTGACCCGGGCGGCCCGGCTGGTAGCCTAGTTATTGGTTGCAATTTTTTTTTCTTTTTTCTTTTCCTGCTTCAATAGTGTGGGGATGCATGTAACATTTATGGATTCTATTTCTCTGTTCCTATTTGAGGCTATTTCTTTATTATTATTATTATTTTTTTCTTATTTGGTTACAGGGATTTTTACCTGCTACAACACGAGTTTATGGGTATGCAAGGACGAAGCTGACTGATGAAGTCCTTCACGCCAAAATTAAGCCGTAAGTGAAATTGAAAATTCCTCAAACCTACCATCTTTTAGGTTCCGGTTACCTTAGAGTTTTTGGCAGCGTGTCTTGTAAATGACGGATACATCGAAAATGTGTAGAATCTGTATTAGAAGGAGAAGCCATGGTTTTGCTTTGCAGACTTCCCAGTTGTTTTCTTTTTCTGGGTTCTGCGACTCCCGATATGGGCTTGGCTGGTGATGCCTCATTCATAATTGGGAGCCGCCTACACATATACCTGCTTGTATAATAATAATAATAATTGTGTTGTTTTGCTGAAAAAAAAAAGAATCCTCAAACCCAGCTTTTTACAAGTTCTTTTTTCTGTTTTCTTCTTTTCAGTGACTTATTCCATTCATAATTTCATTGATTTATTTTTATTTTTTTGGTTTTTAACTAGGCTACCAGAGGGGGGCAAATTGCCCCGCCGGGCCAAAAAAATAAAAAATGCTTTTTTTTTCATTTCATTTTTTATTTTAAATTCGGTAAATAATTTCGATGTGACCCTGAGGCAAACGTTGTTCACTTTATTTTTGTGCCTCACATAGTTTATTTTTATTTTTATTTATTTATTATTATTATTTTTTTTTTATGCGAGGCCCTTCCCTGGTCCTTGCACGGACGGGCCGCCTAGTCAAACAAGGTGACCCGGGCGGCCCAGCTGGTAGCCCAGGGTTTTAATGCCCATTCTCGAGACATCGAAGGTGCACCTGTAAATGCTCTGGAAATTGAGGGATGTATGGGCCTGCCTGGGCCCAGTTAAATTCAGATGTGTTCAGAGGCCCCCAGAGGACGAAGGAACGGTCCCCAGCACTGGGGGGGAGGCTAAACCTTGTCCTTGTTGTTGTTGTTGTTGTTGTTTTTTGTTTAACAAATCCAAAGCTCCATCTATTGGTGGGGAGCTAAACCTTGTCCTATGTGTCAGAAAAAAAATGACATTCGTCATGATCAAGACAAGAATAGACACAGACGACACCCTTGCCGATTCTATGAGTAACATTCTCTGCCAGTGCTTTTTTCCTCCTCCCCCCTCTCCTTTTCTTCTTCTCCTCCTCCTCCTCCTCCTCTTCCTCTTCTTCCATGTTGTGACATGGAAACAGAGGGAGAATGGGACAAAGAAGAGGGAGGCCTAAGTACTCTCCAATGTCTTATGTTCCTGGATAATAGTGAAAGTTGTGAAACTGATTTTTTTTTTTTTTTTTTTGAAACTGAATAATAATAATGTGCCAAACTGAAGTATGTGGAAAGCTGAAGAATATTTATGGTTGGCTATTACAATCATTCCTTCAATGGGCATGTCTTCTCGGAGAAAAAGCTTTGCTCTACTCTTTTTGAAAAGTGCGATGGCCTTGACTCTTGAGCTATCTTTATAGAACTGACCAGGCCCAGATAATTCAGCATCTTAAACCGCCAGCACTTCCTAAAGTCGTGCCCGTACAAAAGCCACGATTTTAGGAAACGTATGGGCCACTACAGGAGCGCCCAAATTCATCCGACTAGAAACGTTTCTACTCTTTTTTTTTCCGCGACTGATAGCTGGGCCAAGTACTGGTGGTTTAATGTTGATCTGACTCCATGATGGATGAGTCAGGATTCAAACTCATCTCGGTCTATCAGGGTTCATGGGTGTACCATTCCGCCACATAGGCTGGGTCTTTGAGTCAGGATCGAAACTCAGCTTGGTTTTATCGGTGGTTCATGGGTGTTCCATTCAGCCACAAGGCTGGGTCTTTGCTCCTTTCTTCTTCTTCTTCTTTTTTTTTTTTTTTTCGTCTTCCGCCAGTGCTAGTAGAGGTGATATGAGTCGCCTCTGCTTGCACCATGGTGTTGATGGCTCCGATCTATTGGTGGGGAGCAGCACTTGCTGGAAAACAGGTCCGCCATCCCTTTTCCTGATGACATTAGTGTACATACAGTACAGTAGCAACCCCCGGATGCAGGCCCTGCTTCTAGTCTGTGCTCCATTCTTTTTCGCACAAAATCGTTCATTGGCGAAGCACCTATATGCTTATGGTACACCTACTGCACCATTGGTACAGGCATTGCTGTGATAATCACCAAATGTGCAGAATGGGAGCGCATGTTCTTTCAGCTGGAAGGTGTGGAACTGTACTCTTTACATTTTTTCTTTTTTTCTCTTTTTCACATTTGGTGAGTGGTGGAGCGAGGCCCTAATTGGATACAAGGGGTTGCTCTGCTGCCCTGTGGTCATCGACATATTCTCTGGGTGTTAGTCGCCGCGATTGCCAGACAAACAACGGCGCCAGTGCCTTTTTGGTGACCGACCTTCAAAATGTTGATGATCATATAATGAACCCAGATCGTGAGACAGTTGTCAACAATGCAAGTCCAGATAAATGTCCATTGGCTAATTGTGACCAGACAGAATGAGGTGAGATATCATACACAGACGAAGAGAGAGGAGGGAGAAGAGACAAAGGAGAGGAAGTAAAATGCCCACTCCTGCTTTGGGCTCCCTCCTCTACTGCCACCTCAACAATCAATAGTCTGAACGAGTATCCGAGTATCCTCAATGTGCCACGTGGCACGTTTAATCAGTTCCACATCAGCATCTGGAGCAATGTCGACATGAAGACCACCAGGTACGTATCCTCGAACTCTCCACAGTCCTGATCTCCTCCTGAAGTGACGACGAACAGAACAGCAATATCGATTATGTAGTCCCCTCAATAGAACATGTGGCAGCAGCCACATCAGCGAAGGCGCATGGCAGCTGCCACATCAGCATGCCAAGAAGACAGGAGTTAAGCCGGCCACCATGCCGGACTAGCAGCACCTCACCAAGTCACAATGCCAGCAGCGTCGAGCCAGCATCGCAGCGTCGAGCCTGCATTGAAGTCAACTCGTGAAGTCAGCATCAACGCAAGACAGAATGAATGTCAAAGCCAGGAAGTCAACTCTTATGTAGTGTTGACGCGGGGTCTGGGCCCCGGATGCTGTATTCCTCGGCCGTCCAGATCTCAATGCGAATGAGGGCTCAGATTGGCCTGAAACCGAATTCCCTCCGGCCTGGATGCTGTCTGGGTACCTGCGCACAACAAGTGAGTGTATCCAACCAAGGGCCTGGGTGCAGTACCTTTTACTCTACAGTTGACTTTGACTCTTGAATTTCCTGTGTGCAGTGTTCGGTCACACAGCCACACTCGACAGGCTCAGGCCTGGGCGTGTCTTGGTCACACAGCCCAGCGAAGACCTTCTCAGATCTGCGTGGCCTGGGGCTGAGTTCTGGGGCCCCATGCTACATCTGAACAGGGTTATTACATTCCTGCCGGCCCATTTTCGAGTTCCACCGCAGAAATTTTTAAGACTTTAACCCTCGTTCATAAGCAGCGACAATATCAGGAGCAGTTTCAAGTAGTTCTCGTTTACTAAATCTGTCCTCAGATGGTGTTTGAGTTTTAAAACGTACCTTGAACTGCTTTTGAGGTCGTCCACGTCCCCCCGTAGAGCCACCTCAAAAATCAATAGTCTGAACGAGTATCCGAGTATCGTCAATGTCCCACGTGGCACAGCATCTGCATCTGGAGCAATGTCCACATGAAGACCACCAGGTACGTATCCTCGAACTCTCCACAGTCCTGATCTCCTCCTGAAGTGACGACGAACAGAACAGCAATACCGATTACGTAGTCCCCTCAATAGAACACGTGGCAGCAGCCACGTCAGCGAAGGCGCATGGCAGCTGCCACGTCAGCATGCCAAGAAGACAGGAGCAAGACGGCCACCATGCCGGACTAGCAGCGCCTCGCCAAGTCACAATGCCAGCAGCGTCGAGCCAGCGTTGAAGTCAACGCGTGAAGTCAGCATCAACGCAAGACAGAATGAATGTCAAAGCCAGGAAGTCAACTCTTATGTAGTGTTGACGCGGGGTCTGGGCCCGGGATGCTGTATTCCTCAGCCGTCCAGATCTCAATGCGAATGAGGGCTCAGATTGGCATGAAACCGAATTCCCTCCGACCTGGATGCTGTCTGGGTACCTGCGCACAACCAGTGAGTGTATCCAACCAAGGGCCTGGGTGCGATACCTTTGACTCTACAGTTGACTTTGACTCTTGAATTTCCTGTGTGCAGTGTTCGGTCACACAGCCACACTCGACAGGCTCAGGCCTGGGCGTGTCTTGGTCACACAGCCCAGCACAGACCTTCTCAGATCTGCGTGGCCTGGGGCTGAGTTCTGGGCCCCAGGCTACTTATGAACAGGGTTATTACAATCATATGCAATCCCTCTATACTCCGAGGGGAATTAAGGAGAGATGGTTAATTGAAGGCCCAAAATTTGGGGTTTTTCGCCGCATCACCACAAGCAATGCCGTCGAAAATTTGTGGGACAAACAACGCAAGCTCATAATACAAACACCAGAAGACCGAAGAGGCAAAAAAAAACGACCCCCCCCCCCGCCCTCCTCAAAAGCCATGTTGCGGCAGCATGCCTTAGCATCTGCAAAAAGCCATGTAGACGAAACCCTTGTGGAAGCGACAGATGTCGCTCAACCTTTTTGGTCTGGTTTGGTGAAGCAGCTTAAGCTGACACTGGTGAGGAATCTGAGGATACAGAGACCAACATCGCCAAGGCTTTTGGTTTGGTAACCCTGGTCAGGATCGTAGCGGACACAAAATCTTTCTGGGGGAGACAATGTCGACAAAACCCTTATGAAGCGACCGACCCCTCTGAGCTTTTTTGGTTTGTTGAAGCAGCTGAACCTGAACCTGAACCTGAACCTGAACCTGAACCTGAACCTGAACCTGGGCCGACCCCTCCGAGGCTTTTTGGTTTGGTGAAGCAGCTGAACCTGAACCTGAACCTGACCTGAAGCTGAACCTGAAGCTGAACCTGAAGCTGGACCTGAAGCTGGACCGACCCCTCTGAGCCTTTTTGGTTTGGTGAAGCAGCTGAACCTGAAGCTGAACCTGAAGCTGAACCTGAAGCTGGACCTGAAGCTGGACCGACCCCTCGGAGCCTTTTTGGTTCGATGAATCAGCTGAACCTGAACCTGAACCTGAACCTGAACCTGAACCTGAATCTGAACGTGAACCTAAACCTGAATCTGAAGCTGGACCGACCCCTTTTGGTTCGATGAAGCAGCTGAACCTGAACCTGAACCTGAACCTGAACCTGAACCTGGACCGACCCCTCTGAGCCTTTTTGGTTTGGTGAAGCAGCTGAAGCTGAAGCTGGTGAGGAATTCGCGGGTACAGCAACCAATCTTGCTGAGCCTTTTGGTTTGGTGAACCTGGTCAGGATTGTAGCGACAGTGGGGACACAAAATCTTTCTGGGGAGACAATGTTGGCAAAGCCCTTGTGAAGTCGTTGAGCTCATTGAGCCTTCTTTTTGGTTTAGTGAAGCTGCAGTTGAAGCTGCGGTTGAAGCTGAAGCTGAAGCTGAAGCTGAAACTGGTGAGGAATCCGAGGGGACAGCAACCAGCCGCACTGAGCACTTTTAGTTCGGTGAGCTTGGTCAGGATTGTAGGAGACATGAAAGGCCTTCCACGATTCAGACCCCAAATTCGGATCTCGGGTTCAGAGGCCTGGTTAAGAGAGACCGAGCTCGTCAAATTCAGAAAAGTCACAATCGGGCACCTCAGGAGTCCAGTCCAACAGGAACCCAGTAAACAGTCACATCTTAGGGGCAAGAGTCGCGCCTCAGAATGAAAAGTCATATTGAAGAGTCACATCCCACGAGTAAGAGGGCAGTTCCACAGGTAAGGGTCGTGTCCCAGGGGCAGGAGTCACAGTCCCCAGTCAAAAGTCATGATCACAAATGAAAAGTCATGTCCCAAAGGCCCAAGCAGCAGCAGACCCATGGAAATTTGGGAAGGTTCCAGGCCTTGACATTCAGAAGCAGACAGGCCGTGAGGATGTGGTACCGGAACCAGTCAGGCCTCCAGAAGCAGAGGCTGGCACGAGTTGACGTGCATTTCAAAGACTACAAAAGGACTGGCCAGCCTACCGTTCGGGCAGATGCTCATTCACACGAGAGTGTGGAAGTGCTTGTGCACTTGTGCGCTAGTGTGGGAGCTGCGCTATGCCAGAGAGCAGCGCCGAGTAGAGATGAGAGAGAGGAACTGCTATAGCTGCGCCAGCACTAGAAGGCAATATAGTGGTAGTTCGTAGTAGTCGAGCAGTGAGTGGTATTCAGAGTTGATCCTCATGTGTGTGTTAGTAGTAGGGAGTGCACAAGTGAGAGAAGAGGAAGACTGTAAAGAGAGAAGACCGGATCCATCAAGTAAGAAAGAGGAAAGAGGGAGAGAGAGTAAGCTATGGTGGATACTTACCTGAAGAGTGTTGAACTTGGTGTTGGTGACAAGCGCTGATGAGCGCAGATGCTGAGACTCTTGATGATCAAAGCAGGCTTGTAATCCTGTGAAGTACTGGACAGCTGAACAGGCTTGTAATTCTGGTTAAGATAATTGACCTGCGTTTTTCTGGTCTACTAATCTTCTCTTTGTGCAAATGTGTGACAAGACGATCTGTGTGACATGTATGCTGGTGTGAGCACTCCATCGTGTGGTGAGCTTTGAGGCTCATTGCAGACACAAAACATTTCCGGGGAGGGTGATACTGACCCCTGTTCAGGGTAGCTAACAACGTGGACATGAAGTCGTTCTGGATGTCTTCATGGTCAAACAGTTCAGACCTGAGCCTTATAGTTTGAGGAGCCAGGTTCAGGTTCAGGTTCAGGCAGGTTCAGCTGCTTCACCAAACCAAAGAAAACAGTTCAGGACACAAAATCTTTCCGGAGGAAGGTGATACTGAAGCTGGTGAGGATAACTAACGATGGGGAAAAGAAAATTGTTCTGAATGGACTTTCTCCATCATGATGGTCAAACAGTTCATAACTGCTGCATCTTCTCTGGAACTCAGCAAGCGCAGTCTATGTCTCCGAATCTCTGGGAGATCATCACATCATATTTTACCATCATCGGTAGAAAAACATGAAAACAAGCTTCGGGAAGCGATTTTTCACTATATTACTTCTTCTCGCTTACTCACTGATTCTTTGTTTTTGCTTTGTCTTTCTTCTTTCTTCTCCCCCTCCCCTCCCCACGCCACTTTGTTCAAAACTCAAATGAATTGCTGCCAAACAGGTACCTTGGAGCTTCTCCTGACGAGGGGCCTTTGGTCGCAGAGTTTCTTAACATGGTGAGTTTCCTTTCTTTTTTTTTTTTTTTTTTTTTGATAAATAGTTTGGAACTTTGGAGGAATTTTGGACCCTTTCTCGATTTGTGCATGTTGTCCTTGCGCAGCGGGCATGCTAATCTTCTCTGTATCGTTCCAATGCCGTTTCCTATATTTTACTACTTTCTGTTTTTCATACTTGATTTCTGTGCTTTTGTCGTGCTGGTTATTGGTTCCCAGCGGTTGTGTCAAAATTGTCTTGCTCGGGGTTGCATATGCCAAATGCTGATGTGGTCTTCAACGGTTGGTGCCGACTGTTTGGCCTTTCTGTGGGCACCGGCCATAAGATATGACGTGTAGCACATATATGTACAGACATATCACTGAATAACCACCTAGACATGTATATATGCATGTATACATAAGGTTACCTTTCGCCCTAGGGAAATAATTGACTCATCGTCTAGCCATCAAGCTATGCCACTGAATAACCATCTTTGTGCCGTCTCCTCGTCCTCCTCTGCTCCCTGAATACAACAGCCAGTCCTTATGGCTGTATTTAGTGCAACGACTTTCAGGCCAGGTACATACATAATAACGACCGGGTGCTGCGTTCTGGGGAAGAAGGTATGGTCTAGGGTTTAGGGTTTTAGGGTTGAGTCGTCTACGACACTCTGTGCTGGTGTTGGTTTTGATCTGTGAGTCAGTTGACATGTGGCCGCTTGACTTTCTGGTCATTGTGTGACACCAGGTTAGCTACATTTCAGGTCCATATGACAAACCTGATGGTTTTGAAGTATTGAATAAAACTCTTACTCAGTTTGAGGACAAGGAAGGTGCCGTGGATGGGTTGTGGCAAGGGAATCGGTTGTTCTACATGGCACTTCCGCCAAGCGTCTATCCGACTGTTGCCACGATGTTACGCTCCGTTTGCATGTCTTCCAGTATGTGACCTTCTGCTTTTCTCCTGCCCACCTCCCTATCTCCCTCCTTTCCTCATGCTATTTCTAGTTCATCCCTACTTTCTCCCTCTGCCTCTCCCACTCTCCCTCTCTCCCTGTCTCCCTGTCTCCCTGTCTCCCTGTCTCCCTGTCTCCCTGTCTCCCGGTCTCCATCTCTCCCTCTCTTCCTCGCTCTCTCCCCTCTCTCCCTGTCTCCCTCTGCCTGCCTGTCTCCCTGTCTCCCTGTCTCCCTGTCTCCCTGTCTC